TTTTTCTTGATTGATACCGGCGGCGAGAAATTCCGCCCCGGCAAAAGGAAATAATAATTTGGGCCTAGCTTGATAGAAGGTCAGGAAGAGATCGTCAGGTTTGCTTCGCTTTGCGGTGAAATCTTTTCATCATTAGGAAATTTACTTTTCCTTAGAGGTCATAGACCTCGTATCACCAAGATGGAGGATCAATCGAACAGGGCGCATCGGCCCGCAAAAGAGAAAAAGAAATACAGTGGTATGTTCAGAGCTCAACAAGCTGGTTATACAGACTGGACATCTTGGCTTGACATATTCTCTGTGGAAACAACATGCTGATATGATGCTTGACTCTCCAGGAGCCAACCCAAAGGCGTTCGCATTTTCGAATCCTGGAAAGGGTGGCAGACAGGCTGCGCGATCGCACGATGTACGCTCTCTTCCCTTGTACCCTCATGTTATCTGCGCAGAACTTGTTCGCTGATTTTATACCAATCTAGATCAAAGAGAAAAGGCTACATGTACCTTTGGTGGATCGTCTGCCCGAAGAGGCTCCCCCGCTTGTCGTCGCGGTTGTTGGACCTCCAGGAGTAAGTTCTTTCGCTTGACGATGACGACGATCTTAAATAATGTTTAAGAAGGCGTCTCTGACAATCGTGCACTTTCGCAGGTCGGAAAAACTACTCTCATTAAGTCCTTAATTCGTCGTTATACGAAACAGACACTCAGTACACCCAAAGGGCCTTTGACGGTGGTGACGGCCAAACGCCGACGGCTCACGATCATCGAATGTCCTTCCGACTCCCTTGCTAGCATGATCGATATCTCCAAAATCGCGGACATTGTTCTTCTGATGATCGACGGCAATTATGGGTTCGAGATGGAGACTATGGAGTTCCTCAATGTCTTGGCCTCCAGTGGTATGCCTGGAAATGTGTTCGGCATTTTGACGCACCTGGATCTTTTCAAGAAGCAAAGCACCCTTCGCGCGGCGAAAAAGCGATTGAAGCACCGTTTCTGGAGTGAACTCTACAACGGCGCAAAGCTTTTTTACCTCTCCGGCGTGGTGAACGGCCGCTATCCTGACCGCGAAATTCATAATCTCTCCCGCTTCCTGTCCGTCATGAAGAATCCTCGGCCGTTGGTTTGGCGAAACTCCCACCCTTACGCGCTTGCAGATCGGTTCCTAGATATCACGCCTCCCACCCAGATTGAAGAAAATCCCAAGTGTGACCGGACCGTCGCGCTGTATGGATATCTGAGGGGAACGAACTTTCCCGCTCAAGGAGCACGAGTCCACGTTCCTGGTGTTGGTGACTTGACAGTTGCGGGCATTGAAGCCCTCCCAGACCCGTGTCCGACACCGTACATGGACCAGCAACTCGCCAAGACATCTGGCAGAGCAAGCAAACGCAGACTAGGCGAGAAGCAGAAACTCCTGTTCGCTCCCATGTCAGATGTTGGTGGTGTCTTGGTCGATAAGGATGCCGTTTACATTGACGTCAAGACATCGAATTTCGACCGAGGTGAAGATGAGGACGATCAAGATCGCGGCTTGGGAGAGCAGTTAGTTGTCGGTCTGCAGGGTGAGCGCAAATTGCTCGGTGAGGCAGAGGGTGGTGTCCGTCTTTTCAGCGGTGGTGAGGTTTTAGAAAAGGCAGATGATGACGGCGAAAATGTTGGCAGAACAGAGAGGAGAAGAGTCAGAATAATGGAAGGAGAGAACGATCAACAGGAACTGTCGGATGACGATGAAGGGTTCGAAAGTGTAGAAGACGAAGAAATGGATGAGGATGGAGAAGGCGACGATCTCAGCGACGAGGAGGGTGGTGATCTGGAACATGTCTCTGCCCCACCAGATTTTGAAGCGAACTTCAAAGAAAGGCAGAACGGCAGTGCCCACCGTGAAGAGGGGGATCTTGCCTTTGCCGACAGTGATTCTGACCTGGGTTCCATCTCGTCTGTTGAGGATCAAGAGCTCGAAAGTGACCTTGACGAGGAGGACGTGGAGGAGGATGACGACGGCGCGCTTCGTTGGAAAGAAAACATGATCGCCAATGCGAAGGCTCTTCATGGCAAGCGACCAAAGTTCCGTGTTGCTGACCTTTCACGGATGATGTACGACGAGTCTATTGCCCCAGCGGATGTGGTGAAGAGATGGCGGGGCGAAGACGAGGAGGAGGAAGAATTCGAAGCTGAGGAGCAGGAAGAAGAAGACGATTTCTTCAAGAAGACCAACACCGAGAAGGAAGAACAATCGGATTATCGTGCTGTTCCTGAACTTGATTATGAGAAGCTGGAACAAAAATGGCAAGACAATGATATGATTGAGTCTCTGCGGAGCCGTTTCGCTACTGCTAAACTCTCTGGTGGAGATGACGGTGATGACGACGTGGACGACGAGGATCTTGATGATGCTTTTGACGAAGACGACGAGGGAGACGGCGCTTTTGAGGATCTCGAGACCGGCGAGGTGTTCAATGGGCTCTCGGACAACGAAGACGGGGGGGACGCTGAGAAGGAGGAAGGCCCAGTGGACCTAGAGGCCGAGCGTGAACGCAACGCGAAGAAGAAAGAAGAGCTTCGACTGCGATTCGAGGAAGAAGACCGCGAAGGTTTTGCCAACTCGAAAGACAATTCGCGGCAGGCAGGTGCAGGCGAAGAAGAATTCGGCGAGGACCAATGGTACGAGCTGCAAAAGGCGAAGCTGCAAAAGCAGCAGGACATCAACCGCGCTGAATTCGAAACTCTTGACCCTGCCTCAAGGGCCAGGGCGGAAGGCTTCAGAGCTGGAACCTATGCCCGGATAGTCCTCGAGAAGGTACCATGTGAATTCGCCACGAAGTTCAACCCTCGATTCCCAGTGATTGTTGGCGGTCTGGCCCCGACCGAAGATCGATTCGGTTACGTGCAGGTCCGAATCAAGAGACACCGTTGGCACAAAAAGATCTTGAAGACCAATGATCCTCTGATTTTCTCCCTTGGTTGGCGTCGCTTCCAGACCCTGCCTATTTACAGTACATCCGACAGTCGAACGCGAAACCGCATGCTTAAATACACCCCTGAGCACATGCATTGCTTTGCTACCTTCTACGGACCGCTCGTCGCGCCGAACACAGGTTTCAGCTGTGTACAGTCGCTCTCGAACAAGACGCCAGGCTTCCGCATTGCGGCCACCGGTGTGGTATTGAGTGTGGACGAACACACGGAGATCGTCAAGAAGTTGAAGCTTACCGGTGTGCCTTACAAGATCTTCAAGAACACCGCCTTCATCAGAGATATGTTCAACTCGTCGCTTGAAATTGCCAAGTTCGAGGGTGCTTCGATCCGAACCGTCTCCGGCGTTCGTGGTCAGATCAAGCGAGCCCTCAGCAAACCCGAAGGATGCTTCCGTGCCACTTTCGAGGATAAGATCCTGATGAGCGATATCGTCTTCCTGCGTGCATGGTACCCGATCAAGCCACACCGCTTCTACAACCCAGTGACGAACCTGCTCGACTTGGACGAGGAAGGTTCAAGCGATAGCGGATGGCTGGGTATGCGTCTGACAGGTGAGGTGCGTCGCGAGAAGGGTATCCCCACTCCACAGAACAAAGACTCAGCCTATCGCACGATCGAGCGGCCTACTCGTCATTTCAACCCCCTTCGCGTGCCACGGCAGCTGGCCGCAGACCTCCCCTTCAAGTCCCAGATCACCCAGATGAAGCCACGAAAGGACAAGACCTACATGCAGAAACGCGCGGTGGTGCTTGGTGGAGAGGAGAAGAAGGCGCGAGACCTCATGCAGAAACTCACAACTCTGCGGAATGAAAAGCAGGCCAAACGAGCTGCGAAGCAAGAGGAGCGTCGTAAGGTGTACCGCGCCAAGGTCGCGGAAAGTCTTGAGAAGAAAGCGGAGCGAGAGAAGCGGGAGCGTGACGAATACTGGCGACGGGAAGGTAGGAAGCGGAAGAACCAAGACGCAGAAGGAGGAGGAGGAGGCAAGAAGCGCAAGTGATATCAGCTCTTCTTTTGTTACGATGTCCCTTCGTCTTACAATATCCCATGGGTTTGTTCGGTTGTCAAAAGTCTCTTGATGGTACTGTCCATGCAGTATCCACGTACATATTGCATTGTGGATGGCGTTGTTTGATCCAACCTGCCGATCAGGATCTGTATTCTTCTAAGTACCTCTAGATGTCTATTATATATCAGTCAATATGTAGATCTTTTGATTTACCATCAAGGCTATTACTTTTATCGTCTAGTTTCAGTAGACTGTCTGAAAAGGCACTAGGGTGTAGGGTGCAAAAGCGACACGTGACCGTGGCGCGAACGCGTCCTCTTGAGAATCTTGATGATCCCCAAGTCAATTTCATGAGCCAAGTGTTCTCCATGAGGATGAACCAGAGGTCGTGGCTCTTCAAGGGAGAGCAAGCGTCAATTGTTGCCTTCCAATCTTATATGTGAAGGGCATATATACCATATGCCTCCGGCAATCATTGTCCGTTGACTGTTGACGGACTTCTGACTACTCCGTATTCATCCATCATCGGGACGTGACGCCGTGTGGGGACGGAAGTTGTTGACAGTTGAATGGTTGATCCCGTCGCCGGGGTCGCCGCTTGTGCTGTCGCATTTCGCAATCACGCCTTGCGCGTGCATCGAGCAGAGCTGCAGACTCCAGGAGATACTCCTTGCAGCGAATTCAAGAAATTCTTTAGATCGAGGACGTCTCGGAGCCAATCGCTCTCCAAATTGTCTGCTTTTGCACTTCCGCACCCGCTTTGCTGCATTCCCACGCCAACCTAGCTCTCCATCGCGGGCGGTGATACCGTCACTCGTGCCACTCGAGGTTGGCGATCGTCCTGGCTGGTCCTGGAAATTTGTCCGTCGGTTGCAGAACTCTTCTTGATCTGATTTCCAATACTGCATTCTTATCTGGGCTCGAACTTTAGACTTGTAAGGCAGTCTTGTCGGGGCTGGGACAGTTTGGAGGTTCCAACTCAGACAAGCGCGTTGTGAGCTACAACTTGGTCGCTATGAGTGGGTCGTCGCATATTGATGTGCCGTTTACTGAGCCTTCTGCGGTGCATATGACCTGTCCAAATGACGGCTTATCTGCTGCTGGCAAGAACAATCACCCTGTCTCCGAAAGCGACAAAGTTCCCGACAAAGCTCACGACGCTACTAAGCAAACCTCAAATAATCCTTCGGCTCTAACACCGCAATCTCCAATGGCTCGAGCAGAGCCGGTTGCATCAGGAAGCGATCCCGATTCTTTTCACGCGTCCAGAGGTGAATTGCCTGAAATGGGGACTTTCCCCGGAGAAAGCACTGCACGGTCGCAGACCTCATTGAGCTCGCAAGGGAATAACTTGACTCGAGGTCTTTCCTCGCATCACCTTTCCAGTGGACAAGAACATGACGTCGCATCAATATCAGGGGCTCAGCGCTCGCCCCAGTTAGCCCGCAGTCACAAAAGAACGGCAACGGGTGAAATCAAGCCCTCGAACATATCAGTAGCACCTCCTAGCCCCGGAACGATTAGCACGGAGAGGCATCCAGCTGAGAGTATCGGCTGGCGCTCACGTGGAAGTAAGATCGCTGCGGTAAATTGGCCTTGTAATGCAATATTCTGCCTTGTCCTAATGTTGCTGATATCATAAACTCAGTTGTCCGTTCACCTTCGTACTCGCTTGTCATACGCCGCAGCCAGGATAGAGAAAAGCAGGCAATCTCTCGACGCGCAGGCGAAACTGCCATTGAATATACTACAAGAAAGCTCCTCCACCGCGCCAGTCGTTGTCAAAACACCGCCATACGCTGATGGGGCTGATGGCTCGCGCCTGCAGGACAAGGACTCTCCAGAGGGTTCTCCGGTCTCCGCGCCAGATCTGCCGACCCAGTCCAATCTCTTCCCAAACACGCGGCTCTCCCCTGCGGCGCGGTCAGACGATCTATCATCTGTTGCCCCATCTAAAAAATCTCCTGTATCACAATTCTCATCGAAAAGAATGTCGGCAACACCGAGACTCGCACCTCCCGCAGATATCGTTCCAAGTGGTAGCGGCTCCCGCCGCAGGCGGCCGAATCCAAACCAAGCGCTTGCACCTTCACGCTACGTCCCATCTTCTGATGACAGGCAGCATCGTCCTCAGCATGGAACTACTGATGATTCACCGAATGTCCTCGTTCCGGGGACGCCTCCGCTCCAATCATTGTCGCAGCCAACATCCACGCCGTATAACGGCCTGTCGAGGCAGTCAACGCATTCGCAAAATGCGTCAATGGAACAGGACGCAATTGAAACCTTATTGTTCATGTCTAGTCCTGGTAATTCAACTTACCACCCGAGTTCCCAGAGGCAGCAAAGTGCTTCGCACATCAGCCAAACGTCATTAAGTACAGGATCGAGCACCAGCCGCAGTCAAACGCAAGACTCTCAGGCAGCTGGGGCAGATCATCGGCGTGCAGGTCAAGCTCGCTTCTTGGAATCGCAAGCAGGGGACGAGATTGACCGCATGCTTGACCAGATGGAAGATAGCGACAGCGAAGACGAAAGAAAACCTAGATACCATTGATTTCGGGGGTTGAGTTTTCGCATGACCTCCGTTGCTCTTTCCGACCGAGGAGACCTTTGTCCCATACTTGATCGGCCTCAAGTTGGAAGGCCCTATCATGATTTACCTCACTACTTTCCTTTCTCATTGCCTCCTTGAATCCTTCACTATCCTGTTTTGCATGGCATCATTCTTGGAGCATTCTCATTGCGAATTTTTGATCCTACATCATTGCATAATCCTGCAAGTACACTAGATTTCAAACTTTGACCATCGTTTGAGCATTTGATCGGTGCCCTCTCAAGTTATTCCAGGAGCAGGCTATCTATTGGGCGCTTTTTGCGCTAGATCACAACTTCTGAAGAGACCGGGATGCTTGCTCGAGGCTGTACAATATTCTGGCATCCTTCTTGGAGTTTTGGCTTTGATACGAGCGGGATTCTGTTCCATGCAAGAAGCTGCATTATGACATTATGCTTTGCAGGCCGTCATTTTATCGCCCATTGCGGGGGCCATGAACAACATTTGAGATCGGTATGGAGCATCCTCGGCATTGGTGCATGTCCGCAATAAAGGCCAGCAATCTGCAACTGCGTTATCCCAGCGCTGGCCCACGTTGCTCTAACTTTCTTGGATAAATCTATCTATCAGCAATCCCATGATCTTCAGAAGCTGAAGTCTTACTACTGCGCATATTCCCTGATTTCGGGTGGAATCATACTCTGTATTAATCTGGTCTATTGTTGACCACCCCCGCATTTCAGAATACTCCCATTCCTCCTCACCTGGTGAAAGCTCAGCGCGCTGCAATACCAATCCAGCAACCAAGATGAGTGCAGACCAAGGCTCAAACTCCTTCTCAAGCTCATCAGCATCATCATCCTCCTCTTCACCTTTTGATCCAGGCGTATTCCTCCCCGGCGGCCACAACAATGACCCCCCGCTCCCCGAAAACAGCCCCACGGTTGGCTACAAACTGAACCACTTCATGCTCCGCATCCGCGATCCGCAGCGCTCGCTCCACTTCTACATCAAGCTCATGGGCATGCGCACAGTATTCACCATGAATGCCGGGCCCTTCACACTATACTACCTAGGCTACCCTCCCACACCCGAAGACCGAGCCGACCTGCCCTCCTGGTCTGCCCGAGTCGCCAACCCCCCAGTCCTCACGCAGACCCCAGGATTGCTGGAACTGTACCATGTCCACGGGACAGAAAAAGCAGACGCCGAGGGCGGCTTCAACATGTCCACTGGCAATACGCCGCCGCATCTCGGCTTCGGACACTTAGGATTCACGGTCCCGGATGTTGCGGGCACATTGGAGAGGCTTAGGAAGGAAGGGGTTTCAATCATCAAGGAATTGGGTAATAGTTCGCGAGAGAGTGTGCCGTTGAGCTCGTGGGAGGAGGGACGGGGAGTCGGTGTGGGCGAGATCCATCCGAATTATCAGGGGCTGTTTGATCAGATTGCTTATGTCGCTGATCCGGTGAGCTCATTGCCCTTCAAGGAATCGTGCGAATTGTTGTGACATTTGGAACTCACTCGTTGCAGGATGGATATCTCGTGGAGCTGATTCCTCAGGATTTACATTGAGGCCGGCAAGGCACACAGAACCGTTTTAGTGGAACTCTGACAATGTACAGTGTTCAAGGCTGTAGATACACCTGAACGCAGGTCTCGTGACATCGGGATAGACACCGTTCCCTCTGCAGAAACAAGCAAAGATCTAACTTCCTTTTTTTAAATCACAACGTAACGCCAACCATGATATCCATACATGATGCTTAAAAGTGTCAATGATCGTCTACTCCACACCCCAGCTGTCATCCATCTCCGCAACGTCGTAATCAACGTCGTGGTTTCCATCCTTGCGAGCATTGAGCTGGTCCGCAGGCAGCGACGAGCCCGCCGTAGACTCCATGACCGTATCTTCGTCCGAGGCCGGTTTAGTATCCGAGCCAGGGCCCGAGATCTTAGCAGGCGTAGAAACACTGATGGGGGGGTTGGGGACCCAGCTGAGCTGGGTCTCTCCGACGGACGGGATGTTCCACGGCCCGTGCATGAATTTCTCGGCTTGGTAGCGCTCCTTGAAAGCCACGACGACAGTGCTTGGCTGTTCGGGGTGAGGTTCGATGGACTCGTATTCGCCGACGCCCTGGGAAGAGAGTAGTCAGTAATTGTACGATCCTGATAAGGTCAGGGAAGGGAATGCTTACAATGAGGAACTGTCTCAGCGCTTCATCCTTTTCTGTATTCAATTCCACACCCGAGACAGCGATTCTCTTCGGCCGGTTGTCAAGACGGAGAACACCGCCGCGGCCACGGGTTGCACCTCGCCCACGGAAGCTTCCGCGGTATGGAGGAGCGTACCCGCGACCGCGTGGAACGAAGCCTCCCCGATAGCCTGCATATCCTCGTCCCCGACCACGGTAGGAGAACGGCGATGCGCCTGCTTCCGAAGCGTTGGGGTCGATTCCGAGGGTCTTGGCTTCGGCCTCGAGAGCTGCCAGCTGCGCGCGGAGCTGCTTCGTTTGCTCGCTTGCGTTTTCGTCGGCAGGGGAGTGGCCAGCTTCGCCGTCGGCGGCGGTACCGTTGCTTGTAGCGCTGGCGCCAAGTTTCTGTAAGAGCCGCTCCTTCTCCTCCTGCTGCTTCTTGAGAAGTTCTTCTCGCTGTTTCTCTAGCTTCTGTTTGGCCTCTTCGGTCTCCTTTCGCTTGCGCATTTTCTCTTCGTACGCCTTCTGCGCTTCTTCCTGCTGCCTTTGGAATTCTTGAGCATCGAAGACGGGGCTTTCGTCCATTGCGTCTCCCGCGGGTCGTTGGTCACCGTTTCTCTCGGTTTTGGGCTTATGCCAATAAACCTTGACGAACCGATTGTCAAAGATGACCTTAGGACTGGACCACGCCCGCTTGGCCGCTGCGTGGCTATCGTACGTGATCAAGGCCAGTTTCCTGTGCGGTTGTAACGAGATCTCAACGATCTCGCCGTATTGGGCAAAGAACTCCCGCACCGTTGCCTCGTCGAGCTTGTCATCAGGAATTTGTTCCACAACAATCGTCTTGATTGAGGGATCATCGTTGGGACCAGCGGCAGAAAACTCAGACCGACGCCCTCGGCCTCCAAAGCCGCCTCTATCGCCACCACGGCCACGGCCACGACCTCGATCACTGCCTCGCATCGGGCCTCCATCTCGTCTTTGAAAGTCCATCATGATATTAGCTGATTTAGGATCATATTCTGTAGCGTCACTGATTAGCAATAGTCGACTCTCAGCGCAAGATCCTGATGGCTTACCGTCGTCCTTTGCCGCGCTGGGACCGGTATCATGCTGGTACGGGCAGGCAGCGCCAAGGTAGCAGATGCCTTGCGTCTCGTAGAACGGGCACCGCTCAGATGACTTGGCCATCATTTGCTCCTGGGGATGACCGGCACCACCTTGAGCCGCCATCGGAATTGTAGGCATGCCAGGCATCTGAGGAAACCCCATGCTCTGCAGGGCCATCATCGCCGCCATCGGGTCATTTTGATCGAACGCCGGGAATGATGGTGGCATGACCGGGAACCCAGCGCCAGCAGGAGGGAACGGACCAGGCGCACCCTGGGGTGCCCGACCATCGCGCCCCATCCAGTCTCCACGGCCGCCTCCGCGCCCTCGACGAGGTGTCTTGAAGTTCCGATTGTGAGGCACATCTTCACGTTCCTGCTCTGTCTGGAAGCCCTCGTGGTAGGTACGCTTCCGGCTAAAATTCGAACTCTCAGGACCTGTGTGTGACTGGGGTGCGCCGCCTATTGGCGGTCCGTAAGCACCTGTAGAAGGACCGGAGGCCACATTGTACGGGAATGCTTGCTGGGGGAGGGACACGGGCTGTGGGAGATCATGGGTGAGCGGAGGCTGGGTCTGAGGGTGCGAGACGGCCGGAGGAGCCTGCTGCTTCGGGCCAAAGGTGGCGAACAGCTCATCGACAAATTGCGTGGTATCTACAAGCAGTGACAGTTCAGCAAGGAGAGCTCTGTGTCGAATGCACCAAGAACGGACAACACTCACGCTCTCTCAAAAAGTCCTCCAAATTTTCCACGGACGCCTTCCTGATCTCATCATCGGGAGCATCTGACCGGATGAGCGCAAGTACGTAGTCCGCAAGCACATCCGAATCAGCATCTGATCTGTAATTAAACGAAGCGAACCATGGTCAGCCTTTCCGAGTCCAGGGAGATTTATGCAATGGTATGCATGTGCGCTGTGACCGAGTCAACCTACATGTCTTCCAACTTTTTCACCACCCATTTCTTCACCTCGGTCGCCTCGTCTTCGGTGAGCTGCATGTTCGTAGCTGAAACGAAAAGCCGACTTCTTCTTGTAGGAATGCGAGCAGGTACTGAGAGGAGGCTCCAGCAATTTTCGAGCACTGGTGCGAATGTAGCTTATGTGCTTTCGAAAATGAACTTGATTGGTGTCCTCGAATGTTTCAGATTGGATAGAAGGGGGACGATATATCAGGCCTCCAGCAATATCGCGAGGTCAATATAGGCCATCGTGCGAGGTAAAAGATGAGGGGTGTGGGACAGAGCTTTGCGCCTCGAAGCTGGGGAAACGCGAACGACGCGGATGACGGTGGAGTCACGTGATTCGCATGAGGGCCTTGGGTTGCAGAAAATCGCCTACAAAATCAATGAGTGAGCTCGACAGTCAAACACCAACTCCAGGTGATAGGTACGGGAGATTCTACAATGTAATGAAAGCACCAAGATATTTTGAACTACCGAATGAAATTTTTCATGTCCAAGCAAAGAACAGCAAGTAAACTATTTAAAGAGCCCTCGCAGTCGTAAACGTAACAAATAGATTATAGAAAGCCATAGCGAATGCACGCGCACACCTGGATTCTACTTCTCTCTAGGTATTCGAAAATCCACATACGACATGAACCAAGCCCGTGTTGTGTCTCGTTTTGAAATTTTGGTCATTGAATTTTCCTTTGTCTCTCCGTAGACAATGTAGAAGGTTCGTCAATCTCATAAA